AAGAAAGAAAGAAAGAAAGAAAGAAAGAAAGAAAGAAAGAAAGAAAGAAAGAAAGAAAACTTATGATCACAATTGAGCCCAAAATTTTGGTTGCTGAGCAAGAGCATTGTTAAGTAAGTTTCACCACATTTTCCAAGTTGTCTACTCCCACCTGGCCACACCACTGCCAAGCCACTCCCACTAGTCACATGACTGCCGAGCCACTTCCACAAAACAGGCAACAGCTACAGAATAGATTCCAAAATTTTTTGAAACCCACCACTGGCTGTAGTCAACACCTTTTTTGAGGAAAAGGGAGGTGCCAAAGGGCCTTGCAGAGACATTGGATTACTCACTTGTTAAAATCCAATGAAATAAAACTGAAAAACTATCATCCTAGGAAGGTTTTCTGAAAATGGGGACTGAAGTGGCAGAAGGCTGTTGAAGATACACATTATTTGGTTCCTTGACAGTCTTGAGTTCAGACCTGGCCATGGACAAAAGTTTCATTAGTTGATCTCATGGATGATCTTTGGTTGGTCCTGTGAATGGAGGTGACACAACTATCTTTGTCCTCCTAGATCTTTTAGCAGCTTTTTATACTGTGAAGCATGAATTTTTTTGGACTGCTTGCAAGAGTTTGAAGGTGTATGCTTCATAGAACTATCAATTTGGAGTGAAGTATCATCAATATGCTGATCATGAGAGAATTCTAATAGAATAGTAGAAAAATTTGCTCTTTCTTTTGTGATTATCTGCACATAAAAATAATTTGAATATTAATATCAAGCATTTTAGGAAGGAGATTTCCTATGAGCCTGTAATTTCTAATATTAGAAAAGTTTGGAAGTATGACGAATACTATAAGTTGGCCATTAATACCACCAGGATTTTAATTGCTGGGAAATGGAAATCTGAGTACTGTCCTCACATTAGTATTACTTTAATAAATCACACCCTGTAATTAATGGAATTAAAAGAACTTAGTAGGTACAAATGAATTAAATGGCAATAGTTGAAATCACTGAAGGATGCATTATAGAAATTTTAATTTAGCTGGTCATATTTTATTTTATTAGTGGACAATTAAGTTTTACTAAAATGCTTGTGGAATATTAAATCTCTTTTCAATTTCAATTTTCTTTTATACTGTAAGGGAAATTTGAAACATGTTACCACTGATTGCCTTGTGGAAAATATCTCTTAAAAAAGAGAGTAAAAAAGCTGATCCCCACCACAGAGACTCCTTTGCTGGACTTGCAGCAGCAACCCCTCTAACTGAATCTCTAGCATTTTTGTTTTAAATAACATGTATGGTATTCTTAGCTGTAATTACTATCTTGTTTATAAACTTCTTTGGACAGATGGTTATAAAAATGGGATATGAATAGTTGTAATAAAAACTAAGACATTGTTTTAATGATTAATGTAATTTATTTTAAAATAAATTTAATTCAAAAAGAATAATGAAAATATTTCTTTCTGTAGCATCCATATCCAACAGAAGATGAGAAAAAACAGATAGCAGCACAAACAAATCTTACCTTACTCCAGGTTAACAACTGGTAGGTTGAACAGAATTATTTTATAGTTCTATCTCATCTTCCTTCTGGGAAACTCAAAGTAATGTACATTGTAGATCTCATCATATTTTACCCCCTGAAAAAAATCACCTGTGATCAAATGGAAATTTGGATTTTAACCCAGGTCTCAATTTACTGCCATAATTTCTATAAAGGTAAAGGTTTCCCCTATCCAGTTATATCTGGCTCTAGGGGGCAGTGCTGATCTTCATTTCTTAGCCGAAGGAACCAGCATTGTCTGAAGCCGCTTCCATGATCATGTGATCAGCATGGCTATATGCCAAAGCTCGCAGAATGCTGTTTTCTTCCTACTGAAGTGGTACCTATTTCTCCACTCGCATTTGCATGCTTTTGAACTGCTAGGTGGGCAGGAGCTGAGGCAAGAATGGGAGCTAATCCCATCACATATTGCTTGGATCTCGAACCACAACCTTCTGGTTGACAAGCCCAGCATCTTAACAGCAAGGCCACTGTGTCCCTTTATAATTTCTATACTGCGTGTTTATTTTCTACAAATTCATAGTCTGTGAAAAAAAAATCAGTGTATTTTGCAATAGAGAAATTTGGATAGTGTTGGGAATATGTAATTTACCTCATAACGCCAAATGGGAAATATTAGGCTGGGAATTTTGAGAAGAAATTGGCAAATTACCTCAGTTCAGGCCCAAACCACCCAGCCTGAAGGTCCTTTAGAACACATGCTCAAATCTGGATAGCTTCATTGTGCATTGTGACACAAGAATGCCTTAAGTGGGTGATTGTGGCCTTCCTCCGATTGTTTGATGAAACCCAGTTTGAAAGACCTTTGGTACATGGTCAGAGGATTCCCAAGCAACTGGGAGGATTTCAACACATTGCCCAAATTTACCAATCTGGATGCCATTTGGCCACTTTTGCAGGACAAAGCTCTTCTAAGGATGGGGAAGAATCTGCAAAGCATAGCTACAGAAAGGTACATGATAATTTGTTCATAGATTTCTAAAGTTACTTTGGAAGTTTACATTTTACCCTTGTTTAGGTTTATCAATGCTAGAAGGAGAATTCTCCAGCCAATGTTGGATTCCAGCTGTTCTGAAACACCAAAAACCAAGAAGAAAACAGCCCAAAACCGACCAGTTCAGAGGTTCTGGCCAGACTCCATTGCATCAGGAGTAGCTCAGCATCAATCAAATGAACTTACTATGTCAGATGGTAAGCAGATGCTTTACTTCATTAAATTGCTTTTAAAAACTACTTTATGTTTTACTTTACTGATTGATGAGTCAGTATGTAAATATATTCAATTTATCTGTATAAAGCCTAATGGAAATAATGAATTGGTATAGGTTTAATTTACTAAATACGTTTTCATGGATGGCATAGAAAATAGAAATGATTAAATCTGCCAAAGTAGACATGATTAGACAAGTACATTTATAGCAGTGGATTGAAGCTAAATATCCCTGTTCCGGCATTTAATGGGGCTTCTCCACAAGTAAAAACTCCATATGTCACAAATTTTGCATATTAGCTTAACTATTGATGTCCATTTAGTATACTGTTTCCTTGAAAATAAGACCTCCCTGGATAATAAGCCCAATCGGGCTTTTGAGCGCATGCACTAAAATAAGCCCTCCTCCAAAAATAAGTCCTCCCCGAAAATATTGCAACACAGCACCTGAAAAATAATAAGACCTCCCCGAAAATAAGGCCAAGTGTTTATTCCAGGGGTCAAAAGAAAATAACACACTGTAACAAACATTTTCAGGGAAACACGGTATGTAAACATTTGCTCCAGATGTTGCAAATCTTGTAATGCTACTTTAAGATGGTAGCACCTTAACGTTTCCAAAATTCAGAATTCTTATTTAGTCCAAAGTAGAATAAAGCAAAATGAACAAATGTCATTAAAGTGCTTACTGAGGAAAAGAATGGACAAAATGGTACGTGTAATTGTAATTCATTTCCAATGCATATTTCAGTAATGAGTTGTGGGTTTTTAAAAATATCTCATTGTTTTTTCCAACTGGACTTGTACTTTTATCCATTTTTAGGGGCTGTTGTAACAATTACAGCTCCCGTCAACATGAATGTAGACAGTCTCCAATCGCTTTCATCTGATGGTACTACTTTGGCTGTTCAGCAAGTCATGATGGCAGGGCAAAGTGAGGATGAATCTGTAGACAGCACGGAAGATGATGGAACAGACCTCTCAACTACAAATATCAGTGGGCTGGCCTTGGATAACAGTGATTCTCTGCAATAGGAAGCAAGAGGACCCGACCTAAAATATTAGGAAAGACAATGGACTGACTGACTTTTTATAGTTTGCACAGCAAACATTTTACACAAGTTTTATTTCTAATATGTTTTATATGTAGATATAGAAGAGTGCACTTTTTTGTATTTCATAGTAAGCTTAAAGAGTGTCTTTGCAGGTGCAGCAACTTCTTTCAAATGTGTTGTTTTTTGGTTTTAATTTTGAAAATCTAGTAAGTTAAAAAATTATCATCCCATTTGTTTTCCTAAAGGTATTATTTCATTCACACACAACAAAAGCTGAGTCAAGCTGAAAAAAATGTGTATAATGGGGTTGCAGACATGGGGTAAAATGGTGGCTGCCTGGAATGTGAGTTAGTTTTACATTAGCATGGATTTAAACTTACCCAAACCAGACAATTACTATGTTACTCAGTTCCTTGCTGTTCTATAATATCATAAGATCTGCAATTTTCAAACATACAACATTGCACTGCTATGGGAGAACTGAAAATACTTTTTATCTTGTTGAAAGTAACCAGTTTCAGTTCTGTCATTTTAACAAAGGTGATTAATGTAAATGTAAAGCATGTCAAACTAATGTATGGGATTTGTTTATGAAGTTAGCCATGTAGATTTGAAAGATGCTTCTGCACCTTAAAAAAGGAAATTAACTGCCTGTCTAAAATGGGCAACATAATACGGAAAAAAAGAAAGAAGTGAAAATGTGTGATTCCTAAAGAATGCATGGCATTTACTATAAACTTAATTTCTTCAGGAGGAGTTAGGTGGACAACTCTAGATCTCATTGTACCTTTAAAATTTCCTGTTCGTATGGCTACCACAGCTTTTTTCTCAACAAATTTTCTTCCTTTTTTATTCATTTGCCTAGTGGCTCCTTTTCTTTTCTTCTTTCCCCCTTTCCTTTCCTTTCCTTTTATTCTCTTTTCTTCTTTTCTTTTCAGCAAATAAGGTGAGGTTAGAATGGCAATAAAAGAAATAACAGGAGCCAGAAGAAGCCATGATTGTAGCTCTCTTCTGGTTATGCATTCCAGTGTAGAATTCACCATGTAAGAAGCAGCAAACCACTCCTACCCTGTCTTAGTAGCAGTGGTGACATCACTGATCTCCACTAGTGTGACATGATTGTCTACAATATGGAGTTTGACAATGCATGTTTTTTTTTTAAAAAAAACCTTACATGTAAAAGAAGGCTTCCAACTGTTAACAGCCATGCCATATTCAAAAATAACTGGCTGTTAATGGATATTAGAACACAATATAAAGAGTGAAAAGATTATTAATGA